GCTCAGTTTCTTATACCTTTTTTACCAGTCTTCATTTATTGGAGCCATAGCAGTTGGAGATTTAGTGAAAAGTACCTTGGGTCCGAAAGGGATGGTATGAATAACTCGTTTGATCTAGTTTACGTTGGAAACAAGTCATTGAAAGATTCGCGTATGATTTTTAATTATACAGGATAAAGTTCTTCAATCTATGACTACTGGGGATATAATGGTTACAAACGATGGAGCAACAATTCTGAAGAGCATCGCCCTTGATAACGCAGCTGCCAAGGTGCTTGTCAGTATCCTTAAATTTCGCGAACTTTATGCGTGAATTAATGAGCTAAATCATGAAATTTAAAGTATCACAAATACCTATATTGTCTTAATTCCTCAAATTTGTTCCAGACATATCTAAAGTTCAGGATGACGAAGTTGGTGATGGGACGACTTCTGTCTGTGTGCTTGCGGCAGAATTGTTGCGCGAAGCAGAAAAACTTGTGAATCAAAAAATTCATCCCCAAACTATTATTGAAGGTTACCGTCTTGCCAGTGCAGCAGCATATAAAGCATTGGAAGCTTCTACTATTGACAATAGGTAATTATTATGTATCAATTATAATGATGAAGTGTGCTTAATTTATTCTTTTGCCATAATCTTTGATCAAAAAAAAAAAATTATAAAATTATAGTGCCGATCCTGAGGCTTTTCGAAAGGATCTTATAAATATTGCTCGAACAACATTAAGTTCAAAAGTTTTGTCACAAGATAAAGATTACTTTGCGAAGCTTACTGTGGACGCAGTACTGAGACTTAAGGTATAGTGTTTACGTAAAATTGCGCACGATTATTTGAACATAGTAATATGGATATAACATATTCATCATCCGTATAGGGTAGCACAAATCTTGAGCACATTCAAATTATCAAGAAATGTGGCGGGAGACTTTCGGATTCTTATCTTGATGAAGGTAATCACACATGAATGTACCATTTGTTTTACTTAAAATCATTATTTGACGAAGCCGATATTCATCTTTTTGCTATCAGGTTTTATTTTGGATAAAAAAATCGGAGTCAATCAGCCTAAAAGAATTGAAAATGCAAAAATTTTAATTGCAAATACACGTATGTAAATTTTGTATTATTAATCATAGTATAATTTTGTATATATATATCGTTAAGAATGAATTTTAGCAATGGACACCGACAAAATCAAAATATTTGGTGCACGCGTACGAGTTGATACTACCGGAAAATTAGCTGATCTGGAAAGAGCCGAGAGGGTATTGCATTACATTGCGTTACATAATTTTTTTGGGGGGGTTAACTGCAGAAACTTAATTGGATGAATCTCTACGCATTATAGGATAAGATGAAGGAAAAGGTTGAGAAGATCAAGGCTCATGGAATCAATTGTTTTGTTAATCGGCAGTTGATTTACAACTGGCCTGAGCAGCTTTTTGCTGATGCTGGCATTATATCGATCGAGCATGCAGATTTTGATGGTGTTGAAAGATTGGCTTTGGTGACTGGTAATAAAGATTATTTTGGTTTTATTTTTCATATTTAATATGTGTTAAAATAGAGATTCTCATTTAGGTAGTGAAATTGCTTCCACGTTCGATCATCCTGAACTTGTGAAGCTAGGACATTGCGATCTTATAGAAGAAATAATCATCGGTGAAGATAAGGTTTGTTGCTTATTTGTGGGATCGGTTAACTTGAATTATATGATTAACTATAAACTAATGTGTAAATAAAGTTACTTAAATTTTCAGGAGTTGCAGCTGGTGAAGCTTGTACAATTGTATTGCGAGGCGCTACGAACCAACTTTTGGACGAAGCTGAACGATCATTGCATGATGCATTGAGTGTATTGACACAAACGGTTAAAGAAACGCGTACGGTATTTGGTGGCGGTTGCTCGGAAATGATTATGGCAAAAGAAGTTGATGAATTAGCCGCAAAAACCGCGGGAAAGAAAGCAATTGCAATAGAATCCTTCGCCAAGGCTCTAAGACAGGTTCTTATTTACTTTCGTCTCCTGTCATGTACGATCAAGATTTTTTGGTAATAACCCCGATTTTAGATCCCCACCATTTTGGCTGATAATGCAGGTTATGACAGTGCAGATCTTGTTGCCAGATTGCGAGCAGCTCATTATGAAGGAAAATCAACATATGGATTAAGTAAATATTCATTTTTTAAATTATATGCTTGCTTGAATGTAATTATAACACATATGTTTGATAGACATTGCGGAAAACACAATTGGAGACATGAAAGAAATTGGTGTTACCGAATCGTATAAACTTAAGCGTCAAGTATTACTGAGTGCATCAGAAGCAACAGAGATGATCTTACGCGTTGACGATATTATTCGATGTGCTCCACGGTCTGTAATTTTAATTGATCTTTTTTTTTTTTGCACTCGGTATATTCTCACCTTTTACTTTATTTATTACAGAAAACGAGAACAAAGTTAGATTCCGAATTGGAGTCTAATCAAAATACATGTGATTTTATAATAAAAATATCAATCAACACCTTCCACTTTTAATTAATGAGGTTAGATTTGTCGACTCACAACGACATTGATGGAAATTATGAGTAATGTATGACAAATTGAAATATAAATTAGAAATGATCTATTTAAAAATTAATATATGTCAATTGATTAACAATTATAATAAATATTGTATTGAAATAGTTTCCATCTTATGAATTAATTTGGTATGCGCGTTCAATAAGC